CCGACTGAGACACCCAGGTGCCCCAGGTTTTTGTTTTTTTTTTTTTTAGATTTTATTTATTTGAGAGAGCAAGAGGGGGGGCGCAGGACAGAGGGAAAGGGAGAAGCAGACTCCCCACTGAGTAGAGAGCCTGAAGCAGGGCTTGATTCCAGGACCCTGAGATCATGACCCGAGCTGAAGGCAGACGCTTAACCAGTTGAGCCACCCAGGTGCCCCTGTTGTGAATCTGCTTTATGTTGTTGGCTCAAAGCGGGGGGCCTCTTAGTCAATGTCCAGATCTTACCTTGTGGAATCGTACTCTTCAGTTATGTGATTGATAGTGACTAGTGGTATGTGAACTGTAGGTGTCCCACCCACCCTTAGTTTGTGTGGGAATGTCGACAGATTACAAGGGATTAGGAGAAAACAGGTTTAGAAGTAAGAGATTAGGAAGGGCTACTAAAGTAGGTGTCCAAGAAGAACTTTGTAACTTTTCTAACTTCTAAGAATTGAAACCTTCTGTTTTCAGTCTTCTGTTATAAAGCACTGAGAGGAGCGTTGACGTTTGGCAGGAGCATCCTATAGAGAAGTGGGCAACACTGATTGTATGGTGTAGCCCTCCCTTAAATGCTGGCTGAGCGTGGATAGCATGCCGCTGGTAGTGTGCAGGACCTAACATTGTCCACTGCAACATAATTAACGGTTTTGCATGTTTGTGTCAAAGGCAGGAAATTCCTCTACTTTTCTAGGTATCTAGCAGTGGTGTTTATGATTGCTCTTTTAAAATCCCTGTTTGCCATTTCTCCACAGCAATGCTACAGGGCTGTTTAAAGGAGTTTGCTTTAGGAAGTTTTGAAATAATTATGTGGCTTTAATTGTCAGATAAATATATATAAAGAAGGGAGCATTTAAGCAGTCTATGGCCAAAGCTGTATTTAAAAATATTTTATTTTTTTGGAAAGGTAATACACATGGTACAAAATTCAAAAAGACACAAAAGGGGATACAGTGAAAAGTCTTCCAATCCTGTACCCATCCACCCTGTCACCCCCCCCCATAAACCACTGTTGTTTCTAAGAATTTACCCTATAGGTATAATCCCATAGATATAATGTGAAATAACATATACACAAGAATATTCATTATAGCATTACTTATAATAGCAAGAGATAGGAAACAATGGAAATGTCCATCAATAGGGGACTGATTAAATAAATTATGATTTATCCATTCAGTGGAATAGTATACAATTATAGAATGAGACAGTTCTTTATGTGCAAGTCTGGATTAAGTGAAAAAAGCAAAGTGCAGAACAGCAGGCATAGGATGCTATTTCTGTTTTTGATACAAAGAAATATGTGTATGTGAATGAAGTTTTTCTGGGTGAGCAGGAAGGCGAGGGTTGGGAGGAGGCGTAGCGCCAGTGGGTATATGGAAGAGTGGTAAGAAGTTCTCTGAACCATGGGGTGTAAGGCAGAGTGACGAGGATGAGGCCAGCAGATACCCAGTTGTCTTCCCCCTTTCTTTAGACAACTAGCAGCACATGGTCCACTTTGTTACACAGCCTTCTTTCCCCGCTTAGTCTATTTTGGATTTCTTCTCAAGGTATTAAGAGCCTTTTTTTTTTTTCATTTTTAGGCCTCCGCAGTAGCAACTAATTGCTTCTAATCTTTTGCTGTTACAAGTAATGCTATAATAAATAACCTCTTACACGTGTTCACATTTGGTGAGAATATATCTGAAGGTTAAATTCCTAGAAGAGTCAAAGAGTAAGTGCTTTTATAATTTCGAAAGACATTGCCATATTATCCTCTTCAGAAGTTGTGTCAGTTTAAGCCCCTGTCAGCTGTGTATGTGAGTCCCTCTTTCAGCAGATGCTTGCCAACTAGGAGTCTTAACAAACTTCTGATCTTTGCCAATCTGAGAGTTTTAAAAGTGTGTCTCGTGTGGTTTTAACTCGCATTTTTTTTGTTTTGAATATTTTCATATGTGTAAGAACTACATATTTTTGTCTGCTGAAAACATCTCAACTAGTATAGTGACGTAGAGCAAATTGTTTGAACTCTGCGTGTCTCCATTTCCTCATCTATAAATTGGGAATAAAAATAGTAGGATTGCTGGATGATTAAATGAAATTTGTGTTGAGCACTCAATATAGTGCCTGGCACATAACAAGCATTCAATAAGTTATTATGGGGTGGCTGACAATTAGAGCAGCAGGTAGGACAGGACAGATTAATAGTATCCATCTCCATGTCTTCAGGCACATCTTGTTCATTTACATTGCCTTTCATCAGACAAATGCAAAGGCAGAGCTTTCCTTGTCTTAGAAGAGTAAAGAATCTTTTCCCATTGGATCCTAATCATAGGCTGTCGGCAGAGCTGGCAAAAGGATAGGCACAGCCTCATGTCTAATATTTAGACTTAGCCAACAGGGTAAAAAAATTTGGTTTAATATGAAATAAAAACAAAAACAGGAGCCCAAATGTACGTTTCTTTATTCCACCATGGTTCTAAACTCCTAGCTGGCCAAGGATGGAGTGGGTCTCTCCTTATAAACTGAGAGGGATGCCAGATGCCATTTTTGAAAGAAAGACATCAAGGGCTTCTGAGTAGAGAGAAGAAACAACATGGGAAATCTGGCTTCCCCTAAACCAGACTACACTGTATTTCACAAGCTAGAAAACAGACCCCTTTATTTTTAGTACCTCAAACTGGTATCCACAAAAGGAGAGCCCAGGACAGGTTTGTGTCCTGTAAGAAGCGGTGTGTATTTAATACAGGTCTTCGGAGGTGGGCCCCCGGCCTGTGGCAGGCTTGCTGTGGTTGGTGCACGGGAGCTGCCGCGGGTAGATTGCGAATGTTTACCCAAAGCTACTGAACATTTTCTTTAGCCTTGTTGAAAGCCTTGGCTCCCCCTTTCTTATCACCTCCCCATATTTTTCATATTGCCCTCTTGCTGCGTTCTCCGTCTCCGTGCTCCCCTTCATTTGCGTCTCTCACACTCAGCAAGCTACAATCAGTCTTGCTCCTCTGAGATGAGGAGATCTCCTGCCCCTGCCTGGGGCCGTAGAACTGCTACAGGATGGACAGGTGGCAAAATCTGGCCCAGAGAGATTGGTTGAGGTGATGGTTCTTGGGAGGAGGCCTTGGAGTCACTCCCCAAACGTCCCCCAATCCTTTTTTGCTCAAGAGATACTGAAGGACCATACCTGGGCAGATGTAACCTCTGACCCAGTTGTGGAATCATCAGGATGTTATGTGGATCGTGACTGGGAAAGGGTGTCAGCAATGTGAGGCCGAACGACCTTGCAGGTTTGCACAGCTTGAGGGGGTGGATGAGGGCCATCCTTTGGTAAGCATCCCATAGCAAGGCCAGGACAGGTGGCAGACTGATCCTCACGGCCAGTGGCTGAAGCATTAAAGCATTTGGTGGTGTTTTAGCCAAGCAAGGGCATGGCAGCATGAAGGCAGTGATAGAAGCTCACAGCCAGGGCCTAAGCTGGGAGAGCTGAAAAGCAGGCAGGGCTGGCTGGGAGGCTGGGCTGCAGGGCCTTCTGCCTGCTTCTTCACGGTGTCTTCCCAGCTAGGAAAGCCTCCTCTAGGCCCCTGCCTGTGGCTGGGGCCCATTTCCAGGTAGCTGTCCACACCGACCCCTCACTGCTACTCCTTGGCAGTGCAGTGTGGGGGGCCTGCCTCGGCCACATAACCTGGGGAGCAGTGGCAGCGGTAGGAGCCCTCGGTGTTCTCGCAGTGACCATGGGCACAGAGTGCCGCAGGCCCGTTCAAGTCATCACACTCATTCACATCTAAGAGGAAGGGAGGGAAGAGAGCACTGTAGGGAGCCCGGGTCCCTCTGCTGCTGTGGCCACTAAGCTCTGGCCCCTGCCCAGCAGTGGAATCCTGCACGTGGCAGCCGGAAGCCGAAGTCACTGCCCAAAACTAAGCTTCTCAGAGACACAGAGCAGGTGGTAGTGAACCCATGCTGTGCCCCTGAGAGTGACCGTGCTCCCCTGTCCCTTTCCTCTGCCTAGGAATCTCCATGAAAGGGTTTTCTGTACCCAGCAGGAGACCTTCCTTTGGCACGCTCTCGCGGCTTGGCCTGGCTCCAGACGCCACACTAGGGGGCAGCAGTGGGTTTCCCCAGCCACCCTAAGTTCAGTCCTGTATTTCTAACTGAGCAGTGGGGCTGGTCTGACCTTTCCACCTGGAGCCATCAGGGTCCTCCTGCTCCCTGGGCGTTGCCACTCAGATCAACACTTACCCACACACGCCATGTGGGCCATGTCCAGCTGGAAGCCCTCAAAGCAGTCACAGGTGTAGCCCTCCCTCACGCGCACACAGCGGCCATTCTCACAGCCGTTCAGGACGCCGCATTCCTCTGCCTGCAGCCCTTCGAAGCCGGCCTGGTGCTCTGGTAGGAGGGAGTCAGAGAAGGAAGCTGAGGCCTTGCACCCGACCCTGGGGCCCTCACCCTCCACCACGAAGGGCTGCTCCTGTTGAACTCCTAAGGTCAGGGTTGGGAGGATCTGAACGCCTCACGGAAAGCTGCTGAAATAAAAGGCTGTACCCTTAAGAAATAAGTATGTGTCATCACTTACGGTGGCAGAGACATGCTGTGCTTTAAATGTCAGCTCCAGGAAGGCTGAGACTCACTACTTTCACAGTGCCAGGGCTCCGGAGCAAGTGGGTGTCTACAGTTTTGGTTTTGTTGTGGTTGGTGGTGGTTAAAATCTTTGTATAGTTTTTTTGCGGGGAGGAGATTGGCAGCAAGAGGGGATTACCCTCACTCAACGCAAAGCGGAACCTAGGGATCTGCTTGAATCTCTCCTTTCTAAGCAGCTCCCAACCCCTGAGAAAGACCCGGCCCCTAATCCCCGCGCAGCCTTAGTCTGACGCAGGGGCTGTGCTCGCGGCAGCTACGTCTGTCGCACAGGTGCCAGGCTGGGCTTCTTAGCATCCCAGTCCTGCATGCTGGGGTCATTGCCACCAACAAACCGAGTCACCAGAGCAGGCCTTTAAAGTGATTAGAAATCCTTAACGCACATTTCAGGTGACAAGTGTGAGCTCGTAGAGCAGGTTATTCTGCACACTGAGTGGCGTGGAGGGAGAAACACAGAGCGGAGTGTACCTGCTTTCCCTTGTTCTCTCAGCTCCCTCAGGGAAGCTTTTGAGGTCGAGGTGGTGTCCTGTACCTCTTTGTGTCCCCTGTGCCAGTTTATCAGAGAGAGTTGTTAGGGTCTGAGCCGGGCATTTGGAGTTGGCCCTTGAGTGACCTGAGAGGGCTCGGTGGGTCTTCCCTCTGCGGCCCTGCCCTGCCGGCAGTGATTAGTAGGTAGAGGAGGCAGGAGAGAAACCGCTGCGGGGCCCACAGCTTCCCCATGTGGGCGGCAACACAGACCTGGCCCGCTGGCCACGTAGTGGGGCTGGAGGTCCGAGGGCTGCAGGGGTGACTCAAGAACTGGTGTGTGGTCCCCGGTGCGGCTGGCTGTGTTGGGGAAGGGTGGCTCTGGGATGGTGTCCTCAGGGCCCAGGTAGTTGTAGAAGGGGGCCCCATCGGGGCCGTAGAGGCTGTAGTGCAGGTCCTCGGGCCCAGGGCCGTACTCATAGCCTGGCCGGAAGTGGACCCCCGCCTCCCGCTCCGCTTCAATCCGGGCCACGTTGCACAGCTGAGCATAGACCTCTGTCAGGGAGGAGGGAGACAGAAGCTGCCAAGTTCCTGCTAGCTAAAGCCTGGTGTGCTGTCCCCCGGCTCACTGCCCGGGGAGAGGGAACATGCTGGGACTGGTCCGCTCCGGGAGCTCCCGGCTGTACTCTTTCCCCCCCGCCCCCCCTTTTGTCCCCGAGCAGTAGGGATGGAAGACAGGGCCACACTCTGCTTGCTCTACTTCTAAATCCCTCCCTCCAAGGTGAGAGCATCCCCTTCCCTAGGGCCCCTCCCTCTGAGCAGGCACGGGTCACCCTTCTCACCGGAGCTCCTGGGGGGGCAGAGGGCACACTGCTGGCTCCAGGCCTCGCCGTCCTGGCAGCAGCATTCCGTGTAGGTGGTGCGGCGCCCGTGCAGGGCTTGGCTGCACACGTAGTTGGTGACTCTTTTCCAGCAGATGTCCGTGTGGATGTCGTGGTCAGGCAGGTCCTCTGGTGGCACAGGGCCCAGGGGCACGTGAGCCCTCCCAGCCCAGAGCCAGTCCCCCTGCCGCCCTACCGCTCCAGGCCTACTGACCAGCGCTCCCGGTGCTGTTCACGCAGCGCTGCTGGCTGAGGTCCAGGGTGAGGGGGGGGCTGCAGAAGCAGTGGAAAGAGCCTTCGGTGTTCACACACTCACCATTCTCACAGGCCATGGCCTGGCACTCGTCGTGATCTGGGGTGGCAGAAAGAAGGAAGGAATGTGTGGGGCAGTACCAAGGCAGCTTGCCCACGGACCGTCTTCGTGGAAGGAGGTTTTCTGGTAACTGATAATGAAGAGTAGCACCCTGCTTCCCCCTCACCCCCTGACCCAGCCCAGGCTGCGAGGCGCCTCCCCAGGGATGCCTTTCCGACAGGGGCTCACATGCAAGCCCTGACAGCGCCACGGCTCCCCTCCCGTCCGGCCCGCCGGCTGCATCAGGAACCGCCAGCACTGATGGGGCCCGGGAGGGGTGGTGTGCGTCCTCACCCTCGCACTTCCTGAGGACGGCGTTGTAGTGGTAGCCGGGGTTGCACAAGCAGATGTAGCCAGGCACCGTGTTGAGGCACCGGCCGTTCTGGCAGAGACCAGGCCCAAACATCACACACTCCTCTGCATCTGTGGGAGGGCAGAGACGATGGGAGGAGCTGGACGAAGCAGAACTTAAGACGAGGGGCTCCAAAGCCAGGCTCCCTGGGTGGGAATCCTGGCGCGGCCACTTGCTAGTCCGGTGACTTTGGGCAACTGAGTTCTCCTTGCCTCCGTTTCCTACCTGAAAAATGTGGCTACTATGACTTAACCTCTTATCGCTCTTATGAAGATTAAAAGGTTAATATAGGTAAGTGCTTACATAGTGCTTGGCACATAGCAAGCACTTAAGGAAAGCCACTTCTGTTTCTATTCTATTTCCGTCTCCAGCTTCAGGATTAGGGCACCGAAGGGCTCATAGCTGAACTACCCACCTTGAGTGTGGGTTCTCCGAAGTTTCTGGCTTTGTAAGTGGGGCCAGGGGGATAAGCAGCTGTCTCTGTACAGAAGTACTCCCCACCCTGACCCTGTGCCCCATGACTGGGTTAGTCATGGCGTCATGGTTTGTTCTGGAGGGTTCAGCCTTGGGGGAGCAGAGGAACCCAGGTCGGGTTATATGGACACCTCCAGGAGGGACTCAGGGCAGACCTTTCAGCTGCAAATCTGCAGGTAGTCAGCCCTGGGACGGGAACGAGGGAAGCGACCTGGGAGGGGCTGCATGCAGAACTTCTCCCGGGAGCCTCCCGGAGGACCAGGGTGGGCCCCCGCAAGTGAGCGGAGTTTGGGGAGGAGGGTCTCTAGGGAGGTTACCTGTGTACGTGGTCTGTCCAAACATCCAGGCTCCGTCCACGGGGATGTAGCCTTTACCACTAGGGCAGATCTCACTGAATTCAACTGTGCAGGGAGGCATCCAAGCTTAGAGGCAGAAGGGCTCTGCCCCCCTTCCTCTCTCCCCTTCTTCCAGATTCACTGTACAGAGCTGACACTGAGCATCTGGGACCCTTGGGGGCCTTACCTGAGTCCTCAGCTGGGCAGAGGTCACAGGCATCCCCCCAGCTGGCACCCTGGGTGCAGCAGCACTCGGCCCGGGTGGTGTTCCGGCCCAGAAGGCTGGAGCAGGGCAGCTGGCCGTTCTGCCCGGAGAAGCATTCCATGCGGATGGGGCCTGGGGCGCGGTCCCCTGGCGGGGCCTCAGGAATACTCTGACCTGCGTGTGATAGATGCCCTGTATCACTGTCTGTCCCTGGCCCTCTGGGGCACCCTAGCTTTTGAATTTATTTTCATGGTTTTACGTTTATATAGTACTTCACAGTGTACAGCATGCTTTTACCTGTATCGTCTCACTCGATGCTCTTGACAGCATTATATTATCAGCCCCCTTTTGCACGTGAGGCAGTTGAGGCTGAGAGAAGCTACGTGACTTGCCACGGCCACCAGCTATTAAGTGGCACTGACCCCAGTTCTTCTGGTGCCCAAACCCCTACTCTTTCTGGAATAGCTCCCTGCCGCCCCCAGTACAGGAGGTGCCCAGTCCGTGGCCTACCATATGGGCAGCCCCTCCATTCCTCAGCCCGCACTGTACCCCAGCCCCTCCCACCTTTCCTTGTTCCAGGTCTTGCTTTCATTTCCCCCAAGTCAGAGGAGGCCATCTGAGTCCTAGGCCACCCTGGGGTGAGAGGCTGAACCCAACAGCTCTGGGGTGGAGCGGGCAGGAGAGAGTGAGGCTCAGCTCAGCTTCATGGCCTCCCTCACCGAAGGGCTCCCTGGGGTCACTCTGAGGCTCAATCTGAGATCCCTAGGCACCGTAAGTTGGCATCCGTTCTTCCTGAGCCCCCTGTAGGGTTGTCACAGCCCCGAGCCTCCAGGACATTCCCTGACCTGGGACAGGCGTCCTCTTGTCTTGACGTTTGCCCTACTCTGACTCCTCACTGTGTTCTACTCCAGTCCTAAGGAGCACCCTTGCGCACATGGCCCTGGGCCTGGCCCAGGCTCCCTCTCAGTAGCCGGAGCAGTGGAAGCGCTCTGTAAGCCGCAGAGCGCTCATGCGTAATGACGGCGTAGAGTATGGGGCGTGCTCACCTCCAGCCACCCGCGGGCGACAGTGGCCCTCCTGAGCGTCGTACTCCTCCAGGTCGCTGGCACAGAGGCACAGGAAGGAGCCCTCCACGTTCTCACAGAGCGCCGCCCCACACACCGCCAGCATGAGCTCACACTCATTCACGTCTGCCAGGCACGAGGACAGGCTTGGGGGTGGAGAAGACGCAGCCCATGTCCCCCCGGCCCTCTGCCTCCAGCCCAGTGGGCGGATCCTCCTCTCATCCCCTCAAAAGAAACCGGCTAGGTCTCAGGGGAAGAGCAGAAGGGAGTTAGCAGGAAGGAGGAACAGATGAACAGAGAGCATCAGAAGGGAGAGGCGAGAAGGGTGGCAGAAAAGGGTCACTAAAGGGACCAAGAGGAAGGGTCCCTCCCTCCGTGCACATTCTCCCAGCGTGCCTCTGGAGGCCGTGAGGGCTCTGGAGAAGGGCGGTGCGCCTTCACTACTGTGCTCGCTCTCCCTGCCGGTAGAACATGGCCAGCCTTCTCCTACCGAGCTGGTCAGGGTGCCCGCTGCGGGGTGGAGCTAACTCACCCTTCCTTGCCCACTCTCTGAGGACCTCTTATGGAGCCGTGTGACCTTGAACATTCCCTTCCCTGGCCCCGAGCCTGGCTAGCCTGCAGGCTTCTCACCAACACAGTCCCAGCCGGAGGACGAAGTCTCGAAGCCCTGGTCACAGAGGCAGCGGAAGGAGCCGTCGGTGTTGTCACAGAAGCCGTGGCTCCCACACAAGGTGTCGTTGGCACACTCATCTATGTCTGTGGGACAGTGGGGGCCAGAGTGTAGGGTGCACTCTTGCTCTATTTGCTGGGAATACTTGGTCTATTGACATCAAGGTCTGTGAAAAGTGACTTCTAAACACAGGACAAGAACGCTCTAACATTACCGTTCCTCTTCAATTTCTGTGCAAGCCCTGCTGTATGGAAAACACGCAGCTTCAAACCGCTACAAAAATGGAGTCCTCGGGACAAAGGTGTTTCTAGTTGGATGCGTGAAAAATAGGTGTCCTCCACCCTCCCCGTTCCTGCTCACCGATGCAGTCTCCAGCTGGAGCCATGTGGAAGCCAGGCTGGCAGCCCAGGACACAGCGGTAGGAGCCAGGGCTGTTCTCACACCTCCAGGCCCCACATGCCGAGTCTCCATAGTCCTCACACTCGTCAACATCTGCTCCCAGCGCCAAGAGAGGGGACAGAAATGGGCAGGTCACTGCTCTGGCCCCACCTCCTTGGCATTACAAGGGCATGTCCCACAGCCTTCGGGGTCCTTGATCTGTTACAAATTACCGTGCTCATCTCAACTCCAAAACAAGTTCAGGATCATTTCTCCTGACCCAGCAGGGATGATTGTCTAGGTAGAGAACTATATGGGATTTAGGAAAGCACTGAGCTCCTAGCTGCCTGCAACACCCTTTCCCCCAGCCCCTTCTCCCTGTAGCAGAGTACTTTATGATTCTCTTTTTATATAAAACCTACACCAAAGTGTACTGCAGAAAATTGTCTTCATATCTGTCTGCCTTGCTCAATTTCAACACTATCCATAACTATTTGTCCTAGCAAAAGACATTGAACCTAGCAGGGGTTTAATGTCTACTGAATCAATTTGGCTTTAAAAACTAGACTGTGTGCTCTGCTAGCACAAGGATTATAATTATCTTCATTTTGTCATCTTTGGATAGGCCCTGAGTCAGCCAAGGCTCAATAAATGCATTATCCATTGGATGATTAATCTGTGGGAAGTGCTCTGCTTCCTGCAAGCTGCAGTGCCTGGTCCTGGGGAGCTGAGGACCACGCAGGGGTGGGGGTGGGCAGATGTGAGGCAGCACCCTATCCACGCCCCCTGGAGCCCTTACCCACACACTCCCCACTCTCTGGGGAGGGCTGGAAGCCGGCCTCACACAGACAGCTGAAGGAGCCCTCGGTGTTGACACAGTGTCCTCCCAGACACCGGTCCGTGACTGCACATTCGTCCACATCTAGAATAGAGCCCCCGGTCAGCAGACCCAGCCACAGGGCCCGGGGGCCCGAAGCAGCCCAGAGGACAGCCGGAGAGGGGCTTGGGGCTAGAAGATCTGAGGAAGTGTCCTGAGCTGGAAGCCAGAGGCCAGGCTGCGGGGAGGAGCCCTGGAACTGAGGCACTATCAAGGGCAGAAGGATGACACCCAAAGGGTTCAGAGGGCGCCTGTCTGTCGTAGACATGGCGGAGAGGCCCTGTTGAAAGACTCTGAGTGCCTTCCTGACACCTGGCTCCCTGTCATCGCTCAGCCTCCCATCTCCCCTCCCTGGGTGGGGCTGGGAGCACCGTATTTCAGTCTAGACATAGCCTCCGGCAGCCCCTGCTGCTGGCAAGTGGACATGGCCCAGCTGGCTTCTCACCCTGGCAGCTGGTGCCCCGCTCTGCGCTGGCGAAGCCTGGTGCACAGAGACAGAAGAAGGACCCGTGGCTGTTGAGGCACTCGCCACGGGGTGCGCAGTACTCCTCTCCCACACACTCGTCCACGTCTGCAAGGAGAAGGCAGGCAGTGGTGTCTCCCAGGCGTGTTGCCACCTCCCCCGACCCCCACTCACGGCCCACAGTCCCCGATGGGCATGCGGAGCCACTCACCCTCACACACGGTGCCATTGGTCAGCTGGAAGCCCGGGGCGCACAGGCACTGGTAGGAGCCAGCCGTGTTCTTGCACTCGCCTCCCCGGCAGCTGCTCCGGAAGTCTTCACACTCATCCACATCTACAGGGTCACACGGGGAGCAAGGCAGCCTGTGGCGGCACCTCCCAGGGACAGGAGGCAACGGGGAGGTCTCCAGAGGGTCTGTGCCCTGCCTGCGGAGTCCGGACCCGGAGGGGCGTCATCCCCTTGTAAAGCGGCACAGCTGGGGAGGGGGCCTCCGGGAGCAGCGTGACTGCAGCTCCTTCCACTTCTGCCTGGAGAAGCCCAGCTGGCCTTCTCCAGCTGCCCACACGGTGCCCTTGGGGACACTCAGCCTCTCCCCGAAGCCCTGGCCTAGGGTGGCCAAACCCACTGCCCTTACCGTGGCTGAGACAGCTCAGATTTTACGGAGAAGCGATGGGAAAACAAATGAGAAACCAATGAAGGAAACAGATGCCGAGAACCGGAGAAGGTCACAGAAACTACGTTCTTGAAGTAGGTCTACGGATTGCCTGGGACAGGCCGATGTTATCCAAAATCTGCTCCCAGCTCCCACCCTGACAAAGAACCCAGGAGGCTGCGTGTGGAACAAACTCCCCTGCAGCTTGCGATCCGGTGGCTCACTGGCCCCTAGACCCAGACTGGCAGCCGTCTTTCCAACCCCTGTTGAGGGACGGGTGAGGATAGGTGTCCTTCAGATGCCATCCAAGGTGGACAGAGCGGCCCCTGGCCCGGAAGCAGTCCCTGCTGTGTCTGGTCACTCCCTTCTCTAAGGGTGGTGGGTTAGTCTCCGGCACCCCATCGGTGCTCCCCTTCCTCATGGTGGCGGGGGGAAGGGGGCTCTCACCTTCACAGGTGTGGCCCAGGGTGCTGGGCCGGTAGCCCGCCTCGCAGTCCCTGCAGGAGAAGGAGCCGGCCGTGTTGGTGCAGACTCCTGAGGGGCACACTCCCGGGAAGGCGCACTCATCTAGGTCTGTGGCAGACGGCCAGCCAGTCACCTGGGGGGCCCGGGAGGGCTCCCTCTACCCGGCCAGGCAGGAAGCTCCCCACACCTCTGGCCTCCCTCTCTGAGCTTGTAGGCCTTTCTCCGGGCCCCTGGGGAGAGGCAGGCCCTGGCTGTGGGCCTTCTGTGGGGCAACCCTGGTCCCCCTTTCCTCAGAATGCTCTGGGGGCAGCTCTGCCGTCAGCTTCCCTCTTGTCTCTGTGACTCCCTTTTTTCCCTCCTGTCCTCACCTCCAAACTTGGGGATGATGACAACAGACGCTCTCCTTGGGGCCAAGTCTATTTCTAGGGTCCTCTAGTCTAGCCTGGAGACCCTCAGCAGCAGCCCAAAGCTGGGGGATGAACAGAGGAATCTTTGGGAGGTAAGAAGGCCTATATCCTTGGTCCCCCTCCGCCAGCTGCTCCCCGGGGTCACCTTCACAGGCAGTGCCATCCTCGTTCACCCAGTAGCCACTCTCGCAGGCCGAGCAGCTGAAGGAGCCCTCCGTGTTGAGGCACAGGCCCGTGGGGCACGAGGCCCGGCTGGCACACTCATCGACATCTGAAACAGGCCAGTGAGTTCTGTGTGGGGCTCTGCAGGACAGACGTGGCAGGACAGCCGGAGACTGACAGGTCGGCAGGGGTAAGGCGAGGGACGGGTCTTGGCAGGATGTGTGGCTGGGTCAGCATGGTTAGGGATGCGCGCGCAGGGCTGGATTAGGAGTGAGTGTGCAGAGGGAAGGAGCTGCAGGCCAATTTGCCTGCAGAGGAAGGTGCTTTAGCATCTCTGTACCTTGGCAGCCCTTCTCATCTGAGGTGACCTTGTAGCCCTGCTCACAAGAGCATTTAAAGGAGCCCTCCAGGTTGATGCACTTTCCATGGGCGCAGACCCCGGAGGTCAGACACTCATTTATATCTGTGGGAGAGAAGTCCAAGATGGCGGGCGGGCCTCCTGTCCTTCGTGCAGTCCCCATTGTCAGGCTTAGGGCATCTTAATGATGAGGCCAGGGAATCAGCACTCAGAGGGGGCATAGGCCACCCTGGGAAGGCGCTGAGGTCATTCCTGCTCCTGGCCACCCCCCCTACCTAGGAAGGGCAGGGTGCCCTTCCCGCCTGAGCCCACTGCAGCTCTATCTAGTAACACGTAGCACTCCGCATATGTCCTAGAAAAGGGAGCCAGGTCTCCCAGCCTTGGGGCTGGTTTGGCCCATCTGAGGACACCCGGAATGACATGTCCTAGACCCTTGACTCACCGTACAGTAGATCTAAACCTTTCTGGCCTCCTACTGGCCAGCCAAACTGGTATGATTCCATGTTCCCAGCCCAACAACCAGCTTCAGTACGTGAGTGGGCAATGCAGAGAGAGGCCAGTCTATGCCTGGGTGGTTGAGTGGCAGTCTCAAGGGCCTGGGAAATGCCTGCCCTCCCCAGAGCCTCAAAGCATCTATTCACAATTCAGTCCCTCCCGGCATTCTGAACCCTGGGCCCTTCTTCCTGCAGGGACTGAGGGGAAAGAACATTCCTTCTATGGCTGACATGCAGCCCCCTCTGGGGGGAGAAGAGCACCCCTGTTGGTGAGGTGTTGCTGTTTAGACATTGCTGTAGAGATGCCGAAGGCCCCTCCTGCCCGGGAACCACAGCAGGACTTGGCTGCGAGCGCACACCACCAGAGTTAGCCTCTTCCTAAGATTCTTGGCAACTCACTCTACCCAGCAGGATCCGGCCACAAAAGCTTCTGGGACCTTGGGCTGTAGCTCCGGGATGGACATGGCCAAGGAGCCAAAGGGGCCCCCGCCCAAGCCGATTCAGAGGGCAGAGCAGCAGTCACCCAAGCACACCCATCTCATGGCCAACGTCATGTGGGAACCCAGCCAGGTCAGGGAGGACAGTGGCCTCCACGCCACTTCCCTCTGCCCGTCTCTTTCCCTCCCTGTGTGTGGGCTCAACCGGAGGTCCCAAGGCCACACAGCCCTCTCAGTGCCTTGGCGAGCGGCCCTCACCTACACAGCTCCCGCTCTGGCCCTGGTAGCCCTCCTCACAGGCAAGGCAAGTGTAGGATCCGGGGGAGTTGACGCATCTCCCGTCGGGGCAGGTGCCAGGGTGACGGCATTCGTCGATATCTGCAAAATAACATCCCCTCCCTTGGTGATCCCTGGGAGCCACAGCACAGGGGTAGTTCTGTGAGGAAGCCAATCCTTGACCCTGCCCTTGGTCGGGGAGAGGGAGGGATGCCAGGTTCTGTCCAGACGGAAACTAGGAAAAAGTGAGTGCCGTCCAGTGTTTCCAGCTCCACCTCCCACCCACTGTCCCGGACAAAAGAGAGAGATAGAAGAACTTTAGAAAGGGAGGCTCCCTGGGTGGGGCAAGAGGCCATGGTCACCATCAGCCCTGGGAGGGTGGGAGAGCTCTGCTTTGTGAACTGGACCGCTGGGAAGGGCCTTCAGAGCTGCCTGGGTGAATCCTGTTCTTCTACATAACCGGGATGGCGCACGCTTTTCCCCGAGGCCCCAGAACGGATCACCAGCTGGGCAATGGAGGCAAAATAGGCTTTCCTGCAGCAGGAGAGGGGGACTGAGGATGACCCTCCAATCTCGGGAAAACCAGCCCTGAGGCCGATGCGGAGTCACGGGTGGAGGCTGGCAAGGCTTCTTGGCTGGAGAGACTTTTGTTCCAGCTGAGAACCATGTAGGGCTCCCAGCACTCACTCTGGTGAGGTCCAGAAGAGAGTCAGAAAGGGTGAGCCTGGGCACCAATCAGACAAACAGGGGAAGAGGGGACCCGAGGAGGGAGAGGAGCAGCCAGTCCTGGGAGAAGGACAGCAAGGAAGAGGACAGAGGTCTTGCTCCCAGAGACTTCTTCCTGGTGCCACCTGGCATATCCGGAAGTCCATCACTCAGGGCACACAGGGGACTTGCTCTGAGTTAGGGAGGTCACAGCGCAGGGCTTGAACTCCGGGTTGGGACTGCAGGAGGACGTGATGTGCCTCGGGCTCAGTGTTGAGGCTCCCAGTCCCTATTTGTGACAGATTGACTGAGCTCCAGAGGAAACAAGAGGATTTATTCTTCCTAAAAGGGTAATTGTCACTCTCCTGGAGGAAGTCCACCGGCTTATGCAGATTCAGGAGCCCTCCTGCCCAAGAGGAAGACCTACTTAGCACCCATGGAGGGAATGCAGGAGGCAGGGCCAAGGGTCAGAACACAGACTTTCCGCAAAGGGACGAAAGCCAGCAGCTGTTGTCACAGAACAGGACACGGGCCCTGAAGTGAAGAGTGAAAATGAGTCTCCCTTGAGGTTGTTTGTTCTGCAGAAGTCAGGCCACATCAAAGCCCTCTGTCCCAGGGAACCGGGACCCTCTCAAGGCCAAAATTTCACCCCAAGGGTCCAGAAGAGGAAGATATACACAGGGCAGGTGGTTGTTCAGGCGGGTATCTGCAAGGAGATACCCAGAACCCCTAGGCAATCTTGGGGACACTGAGATAAGGCTCATCTCTACAAAGAGGGTAGCCAAGAGCCCTTGGGTGGGCTGTGGTGGCACTGGGCTAACCTATTCTAAGGGTTTCTGTAAAGACAGAGATGGAGAGAATGAGACAGAGGAGGGGGATTGAAGGGTCTAGGACCACTGACTTTGGCCGTCCAGGAGAGAGCAGCCAACACCATGGCCTCGGGGCCTTGGCTGAGGTACAGGAGGAAGATGGGCAAAGCCATTGGGAATGATAAGTAATCCCTGCTTCAGGAGATAAAGAGGCAGAGGTGAGGACCCTTTTCTAGGACTACTCTGAGAAAAATGAAGTCTTTGGATCTCTCCTGCAGGGATCAGGCAGTGTAGGAAGGAGATTAGATTTAGCAGGAGCAAAGAGCCCTGATGTCTGGCCTGCCCCAATCGTTCTGGGCACATTCGTGGAGGTGGTGCACAAAGTGTCTTACGCTGGGCATTAGGAGACTCGTGGTACTGATGGTGTTCACTAAGTATTCCAGCTCTCCCCTTGCTGGGCCAGGGTGGGCTTGTGCCCCCTGGTTCTTTGTGGTTGGGTGGGATCAGGGCCTTAGTGCTGGCTCATGAGCTATGAAGTGTGTCATTTATGGACCAAAGCATAATCGTGAACCACTCTGAAGAGTGCTCTTCCTTTCTTCCATGGAGACTGGCCACATTCAAGACACTGGCTATTCCTTTCGGCGAGTTCTAGAGTCAGGAAATGTGGGGCACGATCCTCAGCTGACCCACGATGGACATGTGGCATTGGTCAGATATAAACTTGCTGCGTTCTAAGTCATGAAGGTTGGGGTTGCTCATTAATGCAGCATAACCTAGTCTGTCCTGGCACCCCACTGCTGGCTTCCTTCCTCAGACCAGAGCCCCGCCGGCGATTACTGCATGCGAGAGGTCGGTCAGCATGTGGGAGAGGGAAGGCTCTCCCAGATGGGAGTGGATGTCAGAGCCATCTGCCACGCCCTTCGAAAGGAGCCAGATAAAGATTCCAGATGAAGTAGACTCCACTTCTCACCGGTCTGTGTTAAGGGCACAGATTCTGATGTCACTAGCTTTCCTGAGGCTGTTCTACCAACCTGGTATGTGGACTGGAGCCAGATTGTTCTGCAATATTAGTCTAGGATTTGAATTTTATTTTATTTTATTTTTTTAAAAGGTTTTTATTTATTTATTTGACAGAGAGAGAGAGCAGGGCAGGCAGAGGGAAAGGGAGAAGCAGGCTCCCCGCCGAGCAGGGAGCCCGATGCGGGACTCGATCCCAGGACCCTGGGATCATGACCTGAGCTGAAGGCAGACGCTTAAC